TCCTCTTTGTATTTATTTGACAAACGTTCCAGGACATCAACAATATTATTTATTAATACAATTTTTTCTATGCATTGTGTGTAACAGCATATATTATTTACCACCATTATGAGTAGTCATTCTTCAGTTCTTGATTGCCAATTTAATAATGGTTATTGGTGAGAACAACTTGAATATTAAGTTTCTATAGGAGCAAATAACACTTTTTCACACTTTACAGTTCAAAAAATTACAGTCAAGAATTTTTGTAAACTATTTCGTCATATTCTCGAGTTAAATTCATTCTAATTATTACTACTATGGATTAAGCAATTGTACACTCACACAATCATTTATGAATGTGTATAGTTCATATATGTGTAATTTCTTCACTAACTTTAGAAAAAAATATAAAGATGTACACATGTTAATCCAGTATTCGTACATTTTATCGAAGATACAAAATATATAACAACTTATATACTAAACTGAATCAAATGTTTGCATTATTCATGCATGTACTGTAATTTAAGAGTAATAATTTGGAAAGCACAAGCTATGAGCACATAGTACACTACGTGCTCATAGTGTACTCAAATTTTAATTTATTGTGTTTACATTATTACACTGATATAAATATACAACCCGTTCTCGCACTTGCTTATGGTCAATATTGGCTTATTTAATAAGTGCATATGTGACATACTAATTGATTGTGAATATTTTAGTTTACCTTGAAAGGCTTCATATTAAACACCGACCTCACCTAACCTTCTTAGTATGTTAAGATAAGCATCTTATTGCTTCTTAATTACAGTACTGTACAATTATTACTTAACCTATATCGTTGATAGGTTAAGTAATAATTGTAAATAAGAAGCAATAAGATGCTTATCTTAACATACTAAGAAGGTTAGGTGAGGTCTGTGTTTTCTACGAAGCTTTTCAAGGTAAACTAAAATATTCACAATCAATTAGTATGTCACATATGCACTTATTAAATAAGCCAATATTGACTGAAGCAAGTGCGAGAACGGGTTGCAACATATCGGGTCTTGCTTTCAAAGGTCTGCAATTTGTGAACAAATAGTAGCAAAGTTGGAACAACATAACAATGCCTCACCGTACAGATTGAGACTTTCTGAACTCCGCTATTATACCTTGACAACTGTTGCCAAACATACATTTTTGGATATGGAGGGCCTTTACAATGGACTGAAATGAATATAAATATAAGTATATAATATAAATAAAGTATAAAATAAAGTATAAATATATACAGTATGTATATTATATATATATATATATATATATATATATATATATATATATATATATATATATATATATATATATATATATATATATATATATATATATATATATATATATATATTATAGAAGTATTGATGCAATTGTGGGGACCCATAACCTCAGAGAAGCACACAGGAAGCATTTAGAGAAAATTTGTAATTTTTCCATTATTTCTTGAGAATGTGCTTCCTTTTTTAATATTTCCTTATACTGTACAGTATTATATATATTGGTGTATACTGGCAGCAGGTTTTCTTTCAAACATGTTTCATTGAATATGACCGCATATTCTGTATTTATTATTTTCTGGTTTAGGGCTTCTATCCCTCTAACTATTTTCTTAGCATCAGGGCTTAATTGAAATAGGAGTTCTCCAAAACTCATTTTCGTACTTTTAAGGTGAAGAAAAGAAGTGATTTACTATAGAGTGTATTACACTTATTTGTATAATTTGCACGACGTTTCGAACCTCCATGGTTCATTCTCAAGTGAACAGATCTTACAATACTAGTTGATTTTATACCCGCATTAGGTCAGGTGATAATACAATGAAGGTGAAAACATGGGGGGATACATAAGGGATAAACATAGGGGCTGCAGAAGGCTTATTGGCCCATACGAGGCATCTCCTATCTAAACACAAAGATTAATCCAGTGTAATTGGCCTGTTATGTTGGACATTGTCTTCTGTGTTGGCATCGATATGTTCTTGTCTTGTCCTTACTCTCATGGTGGGTAGAGTACTCTACCCAGAGTACTCTACCCACCATGAGAGTAGAGTACTCTACCCAGAGTACTCTACCCACCATGAGAGTAAGGACAAGACAAGAACATATCGATGCCAACACAGAAGACAATGTCCAACATAACAGGCCAATTACACTGGATTAATCTTTGTGTTTAGATAGGAGATGCCTCGTATGGGCCAATAAGCCTTCTGCAGCCCCTATGTTTATCCCTTATGTATCCCCCCATGTTTTCACCTTCATTGTATTATCACCTGACCTAATGCGGGTATAAAATCAACTAGTATTGTAAGATCTGTTCACTTGAGAATGAACCATGGAGGTTCGAAACGTCGTGCAAATTATACAAATAAGTGTAATACACACTATAGTAAATCACTTCTTTTCTTCACCTTAAAAGTACAAAAATGAGTTTTGGAGAACTCCTATTTCAATTAAGCCCTGATGCTAAGAAAATAGTTAGAGGGATAGAAGCCCTAAACCAGAAAATAATAAATACAGAATATGCGGTCATATTCAATGAAACATATATATATATATATATATATATATATATATATATAATATATATATATATATATATATATATATATATATATATATATATATATATATATATATATATATATATATATAATTTATATTTTTGCATATATCCTTTTAAATGTTTCAAATAATTTCCTTCTAATAACAAATGAAAACATGAAGACTATAAACATTATATTTGTCTTTGAACAGTATTAAATTTTCACATAATTGCATGCATGCATGCATGCCTACTATATTATATATATATATATATATATATATATATATATATATATATATATATATATAAATAATATATATATTGGTAGCAGTCTTTCTTGTAAACATATATGGTTGAATATGACCGAAAGGGTAAGATTAATGATTCTAACATGAGTCTTAATATCACCTATGTATTTCTTCACTGTCGAGGGTAGTTGAAAAATTAACTCTCCAAAGTTCATTTTTACATTTTATTTATGGTTTGATACCTAGAAGTGTTTCGCAAGATACTTCTTACATTTTCAAAGACAATTTTACATACTCTGTTAATGCTTATATTATTTTTTGGGTGAGGTGATAGGACATGAATCAATGGGTACATTGCGTGTTTTATCTTCTTGCTTCTGTGTTTTTTCGGGGTCTTGAAGTGGGTAGAATGTAATTACAGTATGTTTTAATAGGCTGTTGATGGCTGGTTTTGACTTTTTGACGTGTGGGGCCTCCCTATGTCGAGTCTCCTGTTGTCGTTATATTTGTCGATAATTTCTGTGTTGCCTGTTAAGATTTCTCTGGTAACTGTATGGTTGTGTGAGGAGATTATATGCTCCTTGATGGAGCCCTGTTGTGTATGCATTGTTAATCGCCTAGAAAGGGACGTTGTTGTCTTGCCTATATACCGAGATCTTTGGGGCTGACAGTCTTCAAGTGGGCATGTAAAGGCATAGGCGACGTTGGTTTCTTTCAAGGCGTTCTGTTTGGTGTCTGGAGAATTTTTCGTGAGTATGTTGGCCGTTTTCTTGTTTTTGTAGTAAATTGTTATTTGTATCTAATGATTTGTGTCTATGGGGATAACATTCCAATTAATAATATCTTTCAGAACACTTTCCTCCATTTTATGAGCCAGCAAAAAGTAGTTCCTGTAAAACAGTCACATAGGTACAGGTGTTATGTTAGTTGATTCTTCAGAGGTTGCATGGCAACTAAAAACGAATATAAGCATTAACAGTGTGTAAAATTGTCTTTGAAAATGTAAGAAGTATCTTGCGAAACACTTCTAGGTATCAAACCATAAATAAAATGTGAAAATGAACTTTTGAGAGTTAATTTTTCAACTACCCTCGACAGTGAAGAAAAATAAGAAATATTGAGAGGATTCATGTTAGAATCATTAATCTTACCCTTTAGGTCATATTCAACCATATATATATATATAAATATTCATATTCATATTTATATATAAATATATATTCATATATAAATACATATATATATATATATATATATATATATATATATATATATATATATATATATATATATATATATATATATATATATATATATATATATATATATTTATATATTGATTGATGCTTTGGTTTACATTCTTTTAAATAACAATACTAAAAGTTATGGACTCCATTTTATGAACACTGTATTCCTCCTTGAATACAATGTTTACACAATGGACTGAACAATATTAGATTTGCACATATATTTTTCAGTAATTATAGATGCTTCAGAAGATAGACTTTAAATAACAATTAAAAATTGAATTTTGTAATATAAATACTGAAATCCATTAATAATTACTGCATTTCAGGCACATTATTTCATCACTACAGCCAAAAACTCTTCATAACACTTAAAATTAGAGAATAATAATTTTATATGAAAAGAGGTAACAAATTTCTTACTAATGACATGATTCATAAAATTTTAACTATTAGGATTCTATAATCTTGAATAACAATATTAATTTACTTTTATATTTCTCAAGATCTTAAAAACTTCTAGCCTATGTCTTCGAGAGTATTGTTCTGAGCACCTATAGAGAGTATTGACTAGAACTTCAAATAACAATTTCAGCTCTTCAAATAAATATATTACATATATGAGAGGTACCTACAGAACCTCAAGGAATGTATTTTGATCCTGAATGAAAATATTTTTATGTTCCTGAGGAAAACTATGAATATGAATTAGTTCAGAGACATTTAACAGAACAGGTTTCTTAATCCACAAGAACAAATGTTTTGATATTAAACTATAATTTTAGACCTTTGATAAGCAGTCTGTAATCATTGAAAATCATCTGATAATTTCATGTAAAAAGCTTTAGACCATTAGAAGCTGAATTTTGATTTGAGTGAAATGTAGACAAGTATTCTGTTAGCTATGAGCATCCCATGATTATTCCTATTCTCTGAATATAAACAAGGAGTCTGGAAGAGAAGCAGCTTGAAACCATTGCTTCAAGCACTACATTACGCAGCAGCATCCCCAGCAGCAGGTGTGCGGGTAATCAGGACAGTGAACTTTATTCTCATAACCATATACCCAAAACTTGCCAGGACCACCTTTAAACCCGTATTCCACCTCCGCCACAGGCACAATGCGCACTTGATGTCTCTGTTAAAAGAATATACATATTACAATATTAATCACATGGTTTAAATGGCTTCCTACATTAATTTTTTTTCTTGACTGGTTTAAAGAGTTAGTTTGCATTTACTTATGGTGCTACATAGTCTCACTGGCTTGGCACCTTCTTTTGATACTTACAGTACTTGCATTTACGTAATTTGATTTAGACTATGAAAACCGTATGATACTAGTAAGTGCTGTGCAATAAGCTTCATATGAAGAAAGATTAACAAAGCTTAAGTTGTATTCACTGGAAAGGCGAAGAGTTAGGGGTGACATGATAGAGGTTTACAAGTGGGTGAATGGACATAACAAAGGGGATATTAATAGGGTATTAAAAGTATCAACACAAGACAGAACACGAAACAATGGGTATAAATTGGATAAGTTTAGATTTAGAAAAGACTTGGGTAAATACTGGTTCAGTAACAGGGTTGTTGATTTGTGGAACCAATTGCCGCGTAACATTGTGGAGGTGGGGTCCCTCGATTGTTTCAAGCATGGGTTGGACATGTATATGAGTGGGATTGGGTGGTTATAAATAGGAGCTGCCTCGTATGGGCCAACAGGCCTTCTGCAGTTGCCTTTGTTCTTATGTTCTTATGTTAAGCAGATTATTAAAAGACATGGTCCAAAAGCAAATACAGTACAATATTCCCCCTAATGGCAGACTCAGTTTTGAATGGGCCATCTGGCTACACCACACAAAGGAGAGGAGTTAAAACAATATTCAAAATCTGTACAAAATAGTCTTAGGTCAGAGAAATTGCTGACCTGGAGAGCGTGCAGAGATCCTTTACTGCTAGAATCCACTAAGTAAAACATATAAACTATTGGGACCGACTAAAGAGCCTAAATCTGTACTCCCTTGAGCGCAGGCGGGAGAGATACATAATAATTTACACATGGAAAATATTAGATGGGCTGGTCCCAAACCTGCACACAGAAATAATATCACACGAGACCAGAAGACATGGCAGGATGTGCAGAATACCCCCGTTGAAAAGCAGAGGTGCAACAGGTACTCTGAGAGAGAACTCTATCAACATCAGATGCCCGAGACTGTTCAACACGCTTCCGCTACACATAAGGGGCATAACTGCCAATCCTCTCACAGTGTTCAACAGAGAACTGGATAAGCACCTCCAAAGGATACCTGATCAACCAGGCTGTGACTCATATGTCAGGCTGCGAGCAGCCGCATCCAACAGCCTGGTTGATCAGTCCAGCAACCAGGAGGCCTGGTCGACGACCGGGCCGCGGGGACGCTAAGCCCCAGAAGCACCTCAAGGTAACCTCAAGGTAAGGTATGTGGAGAGCTAGTGTCACAATTGATATGTTTGTCCTGCATACTGCCCCCATCCAGTGGGCAGCGGTGGATAGGTTACAATCACTTAGTTACTACCTACAGTTAGCAAACTGGGGATATTTGGCTAAAATTTCTGGTAGCGGATCATTTTGAATGAAATATTTACACATTGTTGGAACATTTGTTATAGAATTGTCTCTGAATTCACGTATCTTTTTGCACTCCATCACATAGTAATGGAGGGTGTGCGAATAATTTTGTTGACACAGTTTACATTTGGTCAGGTCTACATCAGTAGATAATGCGAATTCCCAGAGATGCTTGTAACCGAGTCTAAGCCGAGCAGTAGTAACATCTAGAAGTCTGCTGATTTTATTGGATGAACCATAGATGTGTGGCTCCTAGTCAAATGTAACACGAACGAGAAGCAACAGGTTCAAGCTCAACAAGCCACAATGTAGGACAGAAAACAGATGCTTTTTCACCCATACATACTTGTACATATTTGTACAGCCACTAGTACCCATAGCGTTTTGGGCAGGTCCCTGGAATACGATCTCTGCCGCGAAGAATCGTTTTTACAACCAAGTACTCGTTATACTGTTGAGTTAAACAGAGGCTACAGTTAAGGATTTGCACCCAGTAAATCCTCCCCGGCCAGGATACGAACCAATGACAAAGCGCTCGCGGAACGCCAGGCGAGTGTCTTACCACTACACCATGAAGACTGGTGGTTGTTAACCCGTGGAACCACCTTCCCGCCTTAGGCATTAACGCCAAAACTCTGCTGGGTTTTAAAATACAGATAGAAAAGATCATCCGGGCAAATGAGGGGTGGGGGGGGGGGGGACCTTTAACAAGCCACCAGCTTCCTGTTCTTGTCAAGGCCACTAGTATTAGTGGCCCTCAGGTAAATTCAGATTGTTTGGTCCTCACACGAGCTCTCCCCTCATATAGAGATCCTTTGTATTATAGAGATCCTTTGTATTATAGAGATCCTTTGTATTATAGAGATCCTTTGTATGACCTGCCTCTACTGAGGAAACGTGTTGAACATCCAGCTCTCCACATTGCCTTGGGAACGATAATATCCTCCCTTATCCTTTCTCCTTTGCAAAGACCTTGCCTCTAGTTTTTCATGGATGTAGTGATTACCATCTACTATTGTGCATCTATGTTCTTCTGGTGCATTATCCAATGGAGGTCCTACAAGCAAGGCCAGGCAAACAGCCAAGGGAACTGAGGGCACACTGTCAATGTATTCCCTACTCACTAGAACCTTCCAGTCCTGTGTATGCTTGTCACACGCACCTCGTGACCTGATGCTAACTCTGTCAGTCATGCACACAGAAATAACATCACATGAGACCAGAAGACATGACAGGATGTGCAGAATACCCCCGTTGAAAAACAGAGGTGCAACTGGTACTCTGAGAGAGAACTCTATCAACATCAGAGGTCCGAGACTGTTCAACACACATAAGGGGCATAACTGGCCGACCCCTCACAGTGTTCAAGAGAGAACTGGATAAGCACCTCCAAAGGATACCTGATCAACCAGGCTGTGACTCGTACGTCAGGCTGCGAGCAGCCGCGTCCAACAGCCTGGTTGATCAGTCCGGCAACCAGGAGGCCTGGTCGACGACCGGGCCGCGGGGACGCTAAGCCCCGGAAGCACCTCAAGGTAACCTCAAGGTAGGTCACACCAATGCTTCCTTAGGCTGAAGGTTGCCTCACCATCTGGATGGAATTTCCAGTCTCCCAATTTGGTAAGTCTGATATGCTGAGGAGGATGCCTACCCACTTCCTGGAGCTATATAACACTCAAGAGATGTTTTCTAGTTTTCACCAACAGTTCACACACTATGGAACTATAGACACTCCTTTGATCCCAGGTGTGATTTATTTTCAGCAATTATCTGTGTGTCAAACATATAACAAAGTCTTTCACCTGATCATGCAAACCTGGCAGGCAACATTGGTTGGTGACTCTACCTTGGGACATTGTGCTAAATCAGTGTTAAACTTTCTTGCCTCCTGCCATCTTTCTGTCTTTTATCATTTGGCAGAGTAGATCCATACAGAGATTTTGAGGTACTGTATCTGGAAGTTCGTACTTGGCATCTCACTGTACACCATGGCAATAACAACATGGACACTGCAGTATACTTGCCCCATGTTTCACACACATTTCTGGAGCTTCTTATGAAACCCTACGAGTTTCCAGATGCTATATACGACCTTGTGGTATAAAGATCTTCTATCTCTGCCTGCAACCCATTTATATCACACAAATTGGTGTGACTGCCTCTAAGCCCTTGGGCGAAGCATCAGGAGCTCTATCTTGATTCTCGAAATCAAAGCTGGTGGTACACCTCTACCGGCTAGGCCTTCTGGACTCGAACTCCCAGTTGTATCCAGGTCAAGAGGAACCGGTGGAAAATTTCTTGCTTCCCTGTCAAAGGCTCAATGGTCGTTGGGTACATTACTGTTGTGACTTGTTTCTCTTTCAAATTGCTGTCTTTTTTTTTTTTTTTTTTTTTTTTTTGAAATATATACAAGAGTTGTTACATTCTTGTACAGCCACTAGTACGCGTAGCGTTTCGGGCAGGTCCCTGGAATACGATCCCCTGCCGCAAAGAATCGTTTTTTCATCCAAGTACACATTTTACTGTTGCGTTAAACAGAGGCTACAGTTAAGGAATTGTGCCCAGTAAATCCTCCCCGGCCAGGATACGAACCCATGACATAGCGCTCGCGGAACGCCAGGCGAGTGTCTTACCACTACACCACGGATACTGACATTCTTTTTTCATTATTTTCATTCATTTTTAGAAGAATTTTCATTCTTCTCAACGAATGGCCTGGATAAAGTCATTATTCCATGAGACCATTAGTCTTGCAGGCAACTTGTAGATATGTGTACACCGGGCAGCACAAGTCCATAGGGTGCCCCTACTAGGGCATCGGGATTGTTCACCTATGCCTGGATTGATGGGGTACATAAGGCACTGTGCTGAACCTACTCTCCACAATAAGAACATTACCAGTCCTTAGTACTGGAATGTTCAGAATAAACACTTTGATATAAATTATATAATTTACTAGTGTTTCAAGTCTTTGAGAACTATAATGGGATTAACAAGATATGACTTTACATTCATGATCAAATGCACACTGTCAATAGTTATTATACATGTGCCCTCTCCATTATAGTGTACCAGCTCTCATTTTAGTATCATTCTGCTGTGGTTCTAATTTTTAATATACATCTGTACTGCATTTGTTTGCTACACCTAAAATACTTTGTATATACATGGAAGGTTACCTGTTCCTGGAAGATTACCTGTGCATATATGCGCTCATCGTGAAAAGCATTCTTGTGGTTGTTGACAAGCTGTGCAGAAGCCAGATTAATGGTGTTGTCTGGAAACTGTGTCAGGGGAAATATGCGGGTTCCTTCCTCTTCAAAGGCCACCTGACCTGATACTTCTTTTACCAGTGCCTCAGGCAGGCCACCCTTCCTTACAATGTGTTCAGATGTATTCACTTTCCTGCAAAGATTGCAAGTTGTTAAATGATATGGTAACAATGTTTGCACATTCACTAAATATAGTCTTCACATTAGCTATGAAACTCATAAGCATTATCTTAAGCACCTTGGGCAATGTTGGTGATGGATGCAAATTATGAATTTTGTACAGTACTATATAATAAAAAGGTAATATTCCCAAGGTCATATTGAATTTGATCTCTAATAACGAAATTACAGCTAGTGTGTGGTAACACCGACTCCTCATGGTTAATGGTTTGAGAAGGTAAAGACTGTGTATATTTTTCTTGAGTGCATGTATGAGTCCAGAATACACAGGAAGATATTAGTAATAATATCATAACTCCTATGAAAGAGGGAGAGTTTGTAGTACCTGATTTGCTAGGGATGTATACAAGTTATCATGGATTAGCTAAGAGTCTTAGAGAGCAAAAAAGTTGTGTTTTTCCACAGCATTTTCCGGACTTCTGTTTAAAATCAAGGACTGTGTCTACTCTTCGATAACTCTGAGTATGTTCCAATGTTATCAATGTGGTACTGTTTCAATTATGTAGGATATTAGTGTAGGAAGGAAGGGGGGGTAGAATAGACATGTGTAATCCAGGCTGGCAGCCTGCATATGTTTTGGTGCAGTTGCCCAATTGTGACCAAATGATCATGAAGATCCTATGTCTCATATTCATATTATATATATATATATATATATATATATATATATATATATATATATATATATATATATATATATATATATATATATATATATATATAAAACTGCATTTCATGCTGTGTGTTTACAATTAGACCAATAGTGAAGAATCTGCTGCAATTAATTGGTGATGCTTTCATTTGTGTATTATTAATGGTGGAAGTGGAAACTTCACTTGGTGCTTTTTTCCGTATGTATTTGAAAAGGTTGTCATATGTATATGTCACTGTATATGTATATACAGTGACTGGAGATTATTGTGCACACATTTTATTATTTGATGTATTAATCTGTAACAGAGAATTAGTTATTGTGTTTGTTTTAATATGACATTGTGTGATCTATTCGGAAGATAATTCATAGTTCCTATTTTTTAAAGTCAATGCCTCCTTGCAGCATCTTAAAGTAAATAACTATAAATCACTATGAATGCTAATAATGAGCAATCAGAACTATAACAAATTCTGTTTGCAAACAACACACAGCCCTTCTGTTGAAATCCGCAAATATACTAAACATACACTCACTGATATCCCAGTTGGATACAAGTGGTATCTCTGTGGGACCCTCTTTTTATTATGGGGTATTGACAGTTGAACTCCAGTCTTCCTCTTCTGTGGTCGTGTGTTCGAGGCTCGAATGATGTAAGTAGGAAAGGGAGGAGCACATCACCTGCAAAGGTTTAAGTACTCCCAGGTCAAGCGAGGTAACTAAGCCCCGCCCCCAATGTGGGTAAACAGAAGAAACGTGTGTTCTACCCCTCTGAAAAGGGTACATCTTTTCAACACATTTGATCTCTGAGAAATAATTGATCCCCTCTGTAAACATGCAATGGTGTTAAACTTGGATTAATTCTGACCCAAAATGTACTAGTCCTGACCCACCATGTGATAGTGAGGCGGATGAAACAGCGGATCTGGCCATAGCTGTCACAAGGGGGGCAGGCAACACGACCCTTGGCATTGCACTTTAGGCAATCCTGGCGGCCGTGACCGTGGGTGGAGGACTGGCAGTAGAAGCAGCGTTCCTTGTACCCCGATGAGTCTGTGTACCAGCCGTCGCCGTGACAGGAGAGGCAGCGCGTCTGTGGAAGAAGGAAGGGTCAGGACTCCTGAGCCAATAGTGTAGATAAAGATTATTGTGTATCTGTGAGTGTGGGGAAGGTACACCATATTGGTCAGAGGACACAGGCCAGAGTTATTACTTCTTAGAGGGCATTACATTAATATAAATAACAGGTGACAATTGGAGACTCAGATGTTTGCAATACCAGTAAATGTATACCTGACTAAATGTAAAATGTGTCGGCAAAACTATTCCCATACACACTATCACTATGGAAGAGAGTGCGAAAAAATACTTTAATTTGGGGGACAACTCGAAAACAAACTTAGGAAATGTGTAAATATTTCATTCAAAATGCTCAAGTACCAGAAATTGTAGCCAAATATCCCCCAGTTTGCTAATTGTAGGTAGCAAATGTGGGTGATTGTATCCTTACCACCACTGCCCACTGGATGGGGGTAATGAGCATGAGCAAATCATATTATGAAACCAGCTCACTGCATATGTAAACGATAAATAAATAAAAGCCAAATGTGTATGAATACTCTCTGGCTCTCTGTCCTCCGACACAGTGAATTATTAATTATGTATTTCTGGTGTGACGTTCATCCATATAGGAAGATTTTCAAAATGGGATTAGAACAGAGGAATAAGCCTTTGTAAGTGAACATAGCACAAGAGAATGTGAGGAATGGGTATACGTTTAGTATGCTTAGGGATGTGAAGGGGCTGTGTGTTGTATAAGGACATTTATTGTTATACAGTAGTTCTAATAGTTAATTGTTGCTGAGTGATGATGGGCTTGGGGTAGTTTGTAGAGGTTGAACCCAATGCACAGATTGCCTAATTTTAAGTTAGATAGGGATAGATGTGTGGGAAGTACAGTGTGAGAAGAACAAAGTGGGGAAGATACTACTGTATCTGATTCTGACAGTACATAACTTTGGTTTTATATTATATTATATTATATTATATTATATATATATATATATATATATATATATATATATGTCGTACCTAGTAGCCAGAATGCACTTCTCTGCCTACTATGCAAGGCCTGATTTGCCTAATAAGCCAAGTTTTCATGAATTAATTGTTTTTCGACTACCTAACCTACCTAACCTAACCTAACTTTTTCGACTACCTAACCAAACCTAACCTATAAAGATAGGTTAGGTTAGGTAGGGTTGGTTAGGTTAGGTTAGGTTAGGTAGGGTTGGTTAGGTTAGGTAGGGTTGGTTAGGTTAGGTAGGGTTGGTTAGGTTCGGTCATATATCTACGTTAATTTTAACTCCAATAAAAAAAATTGACCTCATACATAATAAAATGGGTAGCTTTATCATTTCATAAGAAAAAAATAGAGAAAATATATTAATTCAGGAAAACTTGGCTTATTAGGCAAATCGGGCCTTACATAGTAGGCCGAGAAGTGCGTTCTGGCTACTAGGTACGACATATATATATGTATGTTGTACCTAGTAGCCAGAACGCACTTCTCAGCCTACTATGCCTAATAAGCCAAGTTTTCATGAATTAATTGTTTTTCGACTTCTTAACCTAACCTAACTTATAAAGATAGGTTAGGTTAGGTTAGGTAGGGTTGGTTAGGTTCGGTCATATAACTACGCTAATTTTAACTCCAATAAAAAAAACTGACCTCATACATAATGAAATGGGTAGCTTTATCATTTCATAAGAAAAAAATTAAGAGAAAATATATTAATTTATGAAAACTTGGCTTATTAGGCAAATCGGGCCTTGCATAGTAGGCTGAGAAGTGCGTTCTGACTACTAGGTACGATATATATATATATATATATATATATATATATATATATATATATATATATATATATATAGTTGGATGTGACAAAGGCTATAGGCCCAGATAGAATCTGCCCTTGGATACTAAAGGAAGGAGCAGAACTGTGCCTGCCACTCTCCATAGTGTATAACAAATCACTGGCAACAGGGGAAGGACATCCAGCTATCAATGACTTAACTGTCTGGTCGTCATGTGGTCAAAGTACTGGAATTGTCTAAGGGTTTATTGCCCGTCAGTCTAAGGTTTGAATGTTCATGGCGTTTCGGGTAAGTCCTTAATCCAAATTTTTCCCCAGTCAAATCGTTTAACAAGCTATTTATTTGTATTCCGAACACCCATTCACTACTGGGTGAACACAGGCTACAGTTAAGGATTGGCCAACCCGTCCTCGGAGCAAGTCCATTCCATCCAGTGGTCGACCCCAACGATGCATTCATCAATTTTAACATTCTGTTCACTCCAAAACTTTTCTTAAATATAAATTAATATTATTATATATTAGCATATTGTGTATATTTAGACACAGGTTAGGTTTGGTGTTTAGGTTCTGTTGGCGATTATTTGTATTTGTAGTACGTGGGTGAAGCATTTACAGCGTTGTAGTTCGAACAAAAGTCGTCAGCGAAGCAATTGTTCCGGAAATGTTCGGACGTCATTAGTTGTGCAGCCCGTCCTCCAAACAAAGATCCAAAAGTGATTCCATCCACCCGCCAAACCCCCTGTTTATGAATGAAAAGCGGTTTACACACGACTCACAACTGCTGACGTTCGAACATATCCGGAACAAGTGTTTCACTGACGAATTTTGTTCGAATCACAACACTATAAATGCTTCACCCACGTACTACAAATACAAATAATCGCCAACAGAACCTAAACACCTAACCTAACCTATCCTATACCTATATCTCAATGCCTGCATGAGATGCCTGCATCTCAAATTGCAAATTGTTACTTACAGTGTACCTGTGAGTACTCGTAAGCAATCTACCTCATTTTTGCTCAATTTGTTTTTTTTTTTTGTATTGCTTAGTCTTGCTTATATTTTTTGTTTTGTATTTCCATATCTTGTGTTTTGTATAGTCCATGTTTACATGTTTTTTCTTTAATCTCATTAATTGCCTAGGTTGCCTAGCCTAGCCATACTCCCTTACTCCATTGTACCCCTGTAAGCCCCTTTTGTGTTTGTTTTGTACAGTATTGTGTATATATTTTTCCCTATTTTATAGCTTTTTTCTACTTATTTCTGATTCTACAATCAGCTTCTTTTATGCAGTCAAGTATAGACCCAGAACTTAACCTCTTATCCACTATCTATGACAATAATCACTTTAATGATCTAAATTGCAGATATTTTGCAGCACATGATGTAAACAATGTATTAACTCATAATCACAATATCTCTGTAATCAATTTGAACGTTAGATCCCTAGGTAAACACTTCGATGATGTTAGTGCCTTGATTGAAACTATTGACAACAAATTCTCTTTTATTATACTTACTGAAACATGGTTGAAAGAGGATACTACTCAACTCTTTAACATGCCTAACTACTCAGCAATTCACAACTGTCGTCAACTTCAGAGAGGTGGTGGCACTGCTCTTTACTACCACCAAGAACTAACATGCTTAAAAGAAATTAGAACTAGAGACTGCTATGGGGAGTATATCTTCGCCAGCTTCAGAGTCAAGGGTGCCGAGTCTGTCCTGTCTGTGGGTGCAGTCTATAGAATTCCCAACACTGATGTGTCTGTATTCAACTCAAACCTTAGAAATCTAATACTTGATAACAGACTGAACAAAAACCACCTAATTATCGCAGGGGACTTTAATATTGACCTCTGCGAGCCAGAACACCCTACTGCTGTTAGCTTCCTCAACTGTATGAATTCCTGCCTCCTCATACCCTTAATCACTAGACCTACTAGAATCACTGATAGCACTGCCACGACTCTAGATCACATCTGGACCAACATAACCTCTCCGCTTACTTCAGGTATAATCACCGATAGCACTACAGACCACTACCCCACATTTCTCTTAACTAACATTAGCAAACCACCTCTAGAAACAAGGGAGTTAAGCTTTAGGCTGCACAATGAAACTGCTATAAACAATTTTATAACTGCTGCTGATAATGTCAACTGGGAGTCCGAGTTAGGTAACATAGGGGACATCAACCTAGCAGTGCAATCTTTTCTACAAACAACTCTTAGCCTTTATAACACCCACTGTCCTAGGCTTACAAAACAAGTCACAAGCAAAAGGCTTAACAATCCTTGGCTTACAAAGGGAATACTGAAATCCATTAACAAAAAACACGACCTTGAGAAGAAGTATAGGTTAGGAATTGTCTCCAAAGAATTCTCAAAGAATTACTCATTATTGCTAACTAAGATAATTAGACGAGCCAAAACTAATTACTACGAAGATAAATTTACTCAAATAAAGAGCAACATTAAACAAACTTGGAGCACAATTTCACAAATATTGGGATCAAAGAAATCTTTAAATAACAAACCGACTCTCCTGTCTAATAACGATGGTCAGCTTTCAGCCTCTGATTCTGCTATTGAGTTCAATAGGTTCTTCTCTTCCATTGGTTCATCCCTTGCAAATGATATTCCATCTTCCAGTACTGACATTAAGGACTATCTTACAGGTTACTATCCACAGTCTCTGTACCTAAAGCCTATTAACTCCACTGACGTCAATGAGATAATCCTTTCCCTTAAAACCAAGTCTGGTGCCCTTGAGGAGATACCAACTTTAATTTACAAAAAAGCCTCCAGATCTTTAGCCCCTGCTATTGCTTTGCTCTTCAACAAGTCACTTGAACTCCAAACCTTTCCAGATATTCTAAAAAAAGCGAGAGTAACGCCTGTCCACAAATGTGGTGACCCCACAGATGTTAACAACTACAGACCTATATCAATCCTGCCAAACTTGTCAAAAATTTTTGAAAAACTTATATACAAGCAGCTTTACTCATATCTAGCCAAACTCAATATACTTAGCCCTTGCCAATATGGCTTCAGGCCCAAAAAAAGCACTAACGATGCACTTATTAGTATGCTTAACTCGATTCATACAGCTCTTGATAAAAAGGAGCTCCCTGTTGGGTTATTTGTGGACCTGCGTAAAGCTTTTGATACTGTCAACCACCATAACCTTCTTCTTAAATTACATCATTATGGAGTCAGAGGACACTCCCTACAATACCTCGAGTCCTACCTTACTGACAGGCTCCAATATGTTTCTGTGAATAATACAATTTCTCCCACCCTACCCATCAACATTGGTGTTCCTCAGGGCAGCATACTTGGCCCTCTCCTCTTTCTCATCTACATTAATGACCTTCCAAATGCCTCCCAACACCTCAAACCAATTCTATTTGCTGACGACACAACCTTCATTTACTCCAGTCCTGACCCTCTTGCTCTAAATGCCACAGTAAATACTGAGCTAAATAAAGTCCATCTTTGGCTAACTGCCAACAAACTCACCCTTAACATTGACAAAACCTTCTATATTCTGTTTGGCAATAAATCCTCTAGTCTTATAAATCTCAAAATAAACAATACCCAAATTTGAAACAAATTAGATGGCAAATTCCTTGGCATTCTCATTGACCACAAGCTGAATTTCCAGGGACACATTCTAAATATATCAAAAAAAGTTTCAAAAACTGTGGGCATTCTTTCTAAGGTCAGATATTATGTACCACGCCCTGCTCTGGTGACTCTCTATTACTCCCTTATCTATCCTTATCTCAACTATGGTATTTGTGCTTGGGGTTCTACTACCCAAAATCACTTACGTCCTCTAATTACCCAACACAAAGCCGCCATTAGAACAATATCCAACTCTGGCCCCAGACATCACTCGGTACCCCTACTCAAATCTCTTAATATGTTAGATATTAAGTCACTGCACATTCTCTCATGTGTATTATACATATATAAAACGCTAAACTATAATGCCAATCCTGATCTTAAAAGCTTCATAGAAGGTTGTAACAGAACCCATGAGCACCACACCAGAAATAAATACAGTTTTGATATTCCTAGAGTACGTCTTAATCAAACTAGAAATGCTCTGCAAATCAAGGGGCCCAGAATGTGGAATGACCTTCCCAACCTTGTTAAAGACTGTACCTCTCTCAACCAGTTTAAGATAAAAACTAAACACTACCTAATAAATTCCCTGTAATCTACCTCACTCCTCTATTGTCAACCCATGTCTGTTATTTTCTTTTTTTTCTTTTTTTTTTAATCAACACTGTTTGTCAACCTATTGTATTTGTGCTGCTTTTTCAGTCATGTTCCCCCTTTTTTTTTTATCTTTATTTGTATTTGTTCTCAACATCTTTTATTCTTTATGCTCAATTAGTATTAAGTTCTAGATATTAATGTTTTTCTTGCCCGAAACGCATTGCGTAATAGTGGCTTTAGGCATTGTATGTACTAGCTCTATCTATATATCAATCCATTAATGTAACATCACTTGTATGTATATACCTTACCTGAATAAACATCTGAATCTGAATCTGAATCTGATATATGCACAATATGCTAATATATTATAATATTAATTTATACTTGCGAAAATTCCCGTTTTGAATGAACAGCATGTTAAAATTTATGAATGCGTCTGTGGGGTTGACCGCTGAATGTAATGGACTTGAGTCGAGGACGGGTTGAGTTGTGAGTCGTGTGTAAACCGTTATTCATTCATAAACAGGGGGTTTGGAGGGTGCATGGAATAGACTTTGGATCTCTCGAGGATGGGCTGGGATTGGCGCCCAGTAAATCCTCCCCGGCCAGGATACGAACCCAGGCAAAAGCGCTTGCGAAACGCCAGGAAAATGTGTTACCACTTCGCCACGGGGACTGCAAATAAATTATATACAATAAATACATTTATTGTATGTAAATAAATAAATCAGATTGCCAATATATATTGCGAAGGGCATTTCTGAAGTTATATACCACTGTTTCGTTGTGTACTCTGAACGTTAATTTGTTGGTTCCGATGGCGTTTTGTTTATGTTTGCTTTGAGGAAAGTAGGACAGTGACAGCACAGGTGTTGGTAGAGGTAAGAGGTAGTGATCAGGGGGCAAACACTAAAGAGTTTGTGGAGGAAACCTGTATATTTATAAACACTGGACTATAAATTTAAGTGTACTATTCTAGAAAATGAGAATGCGATTAATGCTAATTTTCTTTACAAAGTATGCCACCATAAGTAACCAACGAAGAAGGGCCTTATTGCATAAAGACTTCATACAAACATGCGAATAACCTGTACACAGGTAAAGGGTAATGTTGGAAGGAGAAGGGGGGGGAAGATACACAAGAGGCACTTCTGGGAACACTTCAATACAAGAGGCACTAATGGGAGGGAGATACCACAATGCAAAGAGGCACTCGTGGAAGGGGGCAGATATACACCACCACACAAGGGGCACTCATGGGAGGGGGAGGAGACACCCACACAAGGAACAGTCATCAGTCTTACCTGGAACAGTCGTGGGACGGTACACACACCTCGACACACCACACGTGCATAAAACACTGTAAACTAAGATACCAGCTCCCATTTTTTCTTTCAAGCTCAATTACTACTAAGTTTTAATCTAAGTGTTTTTCCCCATCTCACCTTGCCCGAAACGCTATGCGTACTATAGTGGCTTTAGGTATTGTATGTACTACCTCTATCTCTAAATCAAACAGTTGAATCTTTGTACTGTAATTCTACAACTTTGTATGTACTTTTCCTAAATAAATTATTATTATTATTATCTGGGAATTTAACAAACGTGTACCTTCCTAAATAAAAATTACCACCAACTAGAGAACTCGCCCATCACATTTGACGGTCATCACACAAAAGTGGGTCTACTCTTCCTGACACTTATCCAGCCCTTGCCGTGGCACACCTTGCGTCCTGACACTTACCCAGTCCTTGCCGTGGCACACCTTGCGTCCTGACACTTACCCAGCCCTTGCCGTGGCACTCAGAGCACTGGAGGGACCCAGTGCCTTTGCAGCGGTGGCATTCCTTGACCGAGGCGGTGTGAGGGACCTGGACCACCTTGACCTCGTCGTGGAAGAGGTGTGCCGGCTGAGCCTCCACGTCCCAGGGCAGCGGAGCGGCGCCGTTGGAAGGTCCGTCGACGTCACCACCTCCATAAGGGGTGAAAGCCCACGATGTCTCCCGCTTCTCCGTGAAGGTCTGCAGCTCATACTGCCGGGGACACGAGTCTGGTGAGCTGGTCATACTGCTAGGGGCGTGAGTCAGGGAAGATGGTCATACTGCTAGGGGCGTGAGTCAGGGGAGATAGTCATACTGCTAGGGGCGTGAGTCAGGTGAGCTGGTCATACTGCCAGGGGCGTGAGTCTGGTGAGCTGGTCATACTGCTAGGGGCGTGAGTCAGGGGAGATGGTCATACTGCCGGGGACACGAGTCTGGTGAGCTGGTCATACTGCTAGGGGCGTGAGTCAGGTGAGCTGGTCATACTGCTAGGGGCGTGAGTCAGGGGAGCTGGTCATACTGCTAGGAGCGTGAGTCTGGTGAGATGGTCATACTGCTAGGGGCGTGAGTCAGGGAAGATGGTCATACTGCTAGGGGCGTGAGTCAGGGGGAGATGGTCATACTGCTAGGGGCGTGAGTCAGGGAAGATGGTCATACTGCTAGGGGCGTGAGTCAGGGGGAGATGGTCATACTGCTAGGGGCGTGAGTCAGGGGGAGATGGTCATACTGCTAGGGGCGTGAGTCAGGGGGAGATGGTCATACTGCTAGGGGCGTGAGTCAGGGAAGATGGTCATACTGCTAGGGGCAGTATGACCATCATACTTTCTATACAATCAGTCAGGGAAGATGGTCATACTGCTAGGGGCGTGAGTCAGGGGAGATGGTCATACTGCTAGGGACGTGAGTAATTAAGAATGGAAAGTCAATCTAGAACAACAGTTTATCATATCAGCAAGAGATGTTAGCAATATATAAATACAAAAATGCCAATAGAACTTATAAAGTATGACACAGCAAAAAACGAATCCTTTTTCCAGATATATCCAACAAACATGCCAATAAGATGCCCGGATAAGACCGGGCCAGGGGAAAGGGAGACATGTCAAGTTACTAACAATGACAAAGAAATGGATAGTATTTTAAGTATAAATGTTGATATTATGCCTGCAGTTGAACAATTCTGTGTATAGATGGTGAAAAGGACAATTTGACTAGTTTAGTGGTTATCAGGGAGGACGTTATCAATCAAATAGAACAATTAAAGCAAAATACGTCTCCAGGGTCACGAAGCATTCGCCAGGGTGCTTAAAGAATGTAAGGAGGACCTTAGTGAGCTTTTGTTTTGCGTATTAAATAAACCATTGGAATCGAGTAGCAGAATCATGGAGGGCTGCAAATGTTGTGCCGATTTTTAAAGAAAGAGAGATCACTCATGTCCCACTTTCGTCAAATTTGCTTAATAGCTATTGAAGGATAATTGCTTGAATCGGTAATTGCAAAAGTCATTCCTTAACATTTTGAAAAACACAGTTTAAGCGGCAAGTGCTCAATATAATGTACCTGCAAGAATATGGCATCAACATGTCTACAGTAGACGTCAGGTTTCAGGTTCCTGTCGACAAGGACTTTCTGGTCGACAGTAGTCCTTGTCGACTCTAAAAAATTAGCGAATAGAATACCCCCATTGCGACGCCATCAACTTGTTTCTATATGTGACCATCTGAGCTGAAGAAGAGAACCACTTTAGCACATGCTTCCAGTAGCTTCCTTAGTGTGCATTCTAGCATGCCAATATCTACAAGACTGCTAGCAGTATACATACATACTAACATACATACATACATACATACATACATACATACATACATACATACATACATACATACATACATACATATACATACACTCTGTAGGACCCTCAATAGATGAAGGTAACCAAGTTATAATGGACGACAAAAGGGAATCAAACACTAATATTTTACAACAGTGTTCACACTAGGAAGGTCAGAAACAAACTAAAAGACTCAAAAAAACCCAGGTGTGGATGGGATCCAATCCAGAGTTCAGAGTTGTATCGGAACTGGCAGAAGAACTACGCCCACCGCTGAAATTATTGTTCACAAAATCTCTGGGCCAAGGAATAGTCCCCCCTTGAATGGAAATATGCAAATGTCACCCCTATTTTCAAACAAGGCAGAAAGAGCTCAGCAGAAGACTACCGGCTGGTCAGCTTGGCATCACACACATGCAAGCTCACGGAGACAATTGTCAGGAAATCATTCACCATCTTTCAGTGAATAATCTTGTACAATCGACACAGCATGGGATTGTTAAAAACAGATCCTGCCTTACAAACCTGCTCACATTTTTGGAAACGGTAACCAGCAACACCACTGTGTCAACAAAATTATTCGCACACCCTCCGTCACTATGTGATGGAGTGCGAAAAGATACGTGAATTTAGAGACAATTCTATAACCAATGTTCCAGCGATGTGTAAATATTTTATTCAAAATTATCTGCTACCAGAAATTTTAGCCAAATATCCCCAGTTTGCTAACTGTAGGTAGTAACTAAGTGATTGTAACCTATCCACCGCTGCCCACTGGATGGGGGGCGGTGTGCAGGACAAACATATATATTTTGACACTAGCTCTCCACATATGTCAGTTGCTTAATTTAGAACCTGTACTTGAGGTCGATCTCGAACCCATTGTTGATGTGACGACTTATATTGAATTTTGTAACTAGCTCATCAAGATTGTAACTTGCTTAGCTAAATGAATTGTGGGGTTCAGTCCCTGAGCCCATTATGTGCCTCTGTAACCCTTTCCACTACCGCCCACAAGATGGGTATGGGGTGCATAATAAATGAACTAAAAAAAAAATAAAAACCAACTTGCCTTGACGATCCTCTCCAGGTGGATTTTAAAACCTAATAGAATTTTGGCGTTTGCGGCTTCGGCGGGTAGGCGGTTTCATGGGTTTATAGCCCCGAAGGTGAAAAAGCCTCTCCTGTTCTCAGTCCTACATTGAGGTTTGTTGAGCTTGAAACCGTTACTCCTTGTTTGTGTTACCTCTGACCTTTTGAAGAAAATACCCGGATCAACATCCTCTAACTTGTTCAGTATTTTAAAAGTTTCGATAAGATCCGCCCTGTCATGCCTGATTTGCAGGGTTGCTGGCCCTGTGGCCCTCAGCCGTTCCTCGTACGTGAGTTGACAGCTCTTGTGTTTGTATACAAGAAGGTTCACTGGGCCGTGAGAGTACATAACGTTGGAGCGCTACATTCTTGCAAAACCTGGTGTGCAGTCTTAACTCATACTTATTTACCACCTGTTGTCTTAACTCATACTTATTTCCCATTTCTAAACCTTTTCTTTCGCATGTACCTCTCCAGTTCTTTACTTAAAAAATATATATATTGTATAAAATGCGTTATACATTTTAGGAAAGAGACCCTTAAGAGAGATTCGATGTCTAATCCCTGATCTACCTCAAAATAACAACACAATCTGGCTTTACGGGGGTTTCATTTGGCTTTGCTCTATGACTTACGCCATAGAGCAAAGTTTGCCTAACTCAAACTGGAGAGAAAAACGTCTACACCTTTTTGGAAAAAGATATTTTATTCACTTTCAATATCTAGTTCCCTGTCTATCTATCCTCCCAGGACAAAATTGACTTCCCCACCTCCACAAAAAAAAAAAAAAAACTTGCGCCATAGAGCAAAGGTTGCCGAACTAAAAATATAATGTCGAAACATTTCAGGAAACAATTTCGCTGGATTCTATAAAGTGACTCCCGCCAGTTAACCCGCGCTTGACTCAACGTCCAGACAGAATTCGCTAGAAAAACGGCGACAATGTAGATAATTATTTTTACCAAAACCAACTTTTAGGTTGGCAAAGATTATTCTTTTAAGTATTTCGAAAAAAATAGGTGCTCTTTGACATTAGATTATATTTTTCTAAACGTTGAACAAAACACACATAAATTACGAAGAAACTATGTACTCATCTAGTTGTGCTTGCGGGGGTTGAGCTCTGGCTCTTTGGTCCCGCTTCTCAACCGTCAATCAACTGGTGTTCCTGAGCCTATTGGGCTCTATCATATCTGTACTTAAAACTGTATGGGGTCAGCATCCACCACATCATTTCGTAATGCATTCCACTTATTAATGGCTCATTTGGACACTCAATTTCCATCTGTGTTCCCTTGTACCAGTGCTCCTTGTGTTAAATAAACTGTCTTTGTCTATCCTGTGTGTGTGTGTGTGTGTGTGTGTGTGTGTGTGTGTGTGTGTGTGTGTGTGTAATAACCTACAATTCTGAGATGCTGGATGTGGCTGGTCATTCTAAATACCTGGTATGTGTGACTGACAAAAGATAAATTCGAGCAATTGAAGTGGTTGGTGCACGGAAAGCGCCAGTGAAGATGCACCACCATTCTGGGGTTATGAACGTGAACAATCAACAGTTAGAGCGGCAGAAGAGGATGATGTGAAGGGGCATGTGTAATGTTAGAGGAACAGGTGAAGGATGCACATGTGTGTGTGAGAGAGAATGGTCGCTCAGTTCCCACAGCTGACTTCAAGTGGCACATCCCAGAACATCTGCAATTGGAAAAAAAAGAGAGTCGAGAAAGTTACCCCCTGTGCTCTTAAGTGCTTTAATGCATTCTATGTGCATGGATTCATGCTTTAGTGCATTCTATGTGCATGGATTCATGCTTTAGTGCATTCTATGTGCATGCACTCATGCTTTAGTGCATTATATGTGCATGGATTCATGCTTTAGAGCATTCCATGTGCATTCCTTCAAGCTTTAATGTATTCCATGTGTTCAATGTCCCGACACTGAATAAATTCTTTCTAATGTCTCTGTGGCTCATTTGGGTATTCAGTTTCCGCCTCTGATCTCCACGCCCCGGGGAACGACCCACTCCATATATACTCTGTCAAAGTCTGAACCATCAATACCTGGAGAACACGCAGAGTAGTTTCTGGGAGCAGTTCTACTCTCCAACCCCCCCCCCCAGCCTGGGGTCAGGAGTGTCTTGTGGTAACGTGGTTCCATCAGGCTGTTGCTTGAAGGAGCCCGCAGGCCTACATCTCCACTACACCTCGGCAGGTCCGGTACTTTTTGCAGGGGGAGGGGGAGCCGTCTCTAATTTTCTATTGATATACTTGAGAATATAAACAATTATTACCC